CAAGCAGGTGGGCAGTGAAGGTCAGGTCTTGGGGTCTAGCTGGTGACATAACCAGGGAAGTAAAACAAAGACTTGAAAAAAATCTTCAGACTTTGGGCACCTGGGTGGCTCAGTTGGTTAAGCGACTGCCTTCGGCTCAGGTCATGATCCCGGAGTCCTGGGATCAAGCCCGGCATCGGGCTCCCGGCTCAGCGGGGAGCTTGCTTCTCCCTCTGACCCTATCCCCTCTCATGCTGTTTCTCTCTCTCTCTCAAATAAATAAATAAAATCTTTAAATAAAAAAAAAAGAAAAAAATCTTCAGACTTCATTTCTGTTACCCGTTTTAATGAAAACAAAAATGTGTATTGATTGCATCTTAAAATGGAAATGATTGTATTCTTTCCCTATTAACCATTCCTAATCTACAGGGTATTTCTCAAATGTTTCCACATAAACATCCTCAGCTGGTGTAGGAACACGACTTCACCCCTGGCAGAAAGAGGAGGTAACCTGGAAGTATTGCCCAAAGTGAACCACTGAGGACTAGAAATTTACTTGAACTCTCCTGTTTTGTTTCCTGGTGTTACTGTCTTTAAAATTCATCTAAAAATTACAATCTACTCCATGTCATTTGGATTTCATTTTAAAGATAACATTGTAAATTATCTAAGTAAAATGAACTTCTCGAAGATGCTTCCTTTTTTATCTTGTTTCCTCCAGGACCCACTGTGTACCCCTGGGGTGCACCTAAGCTTGTTTGAGAAGCATGGACCTATGGCTGAGCTCACTGAAGAAGGTAAGGCTTTCAGACTACCCTCCTAATTATGAAGCACGTATTCAGAGCCTTTGTATAGACAAATGTGTGGCAATTGCTCACCTCCAGTGGTTTACTCTGGTTTAGGAGAAAAAGCACACCGGGCCATAGAATGATGAATATAACCACGTAAGGCCATGCCTGATAAATGCCAGGTGAGTGGCAGAGATATGTACTATGAGCATGTGGAGGAACACAGATGTTACTGAAACTTTTTGGCTAGGGGTTCACAGAGCTGGTACTGGGTCAAGGCTCTGAAAGATTGTAAGGATTGTGATCACAAAGAAGGGGACGAGGGCATTCCAGAGAGGGAGGGGGGTGTGGTGACGGCAAGGTGCCTTGGAGGGGGGTGATAAATAGTCTAATTAAGCTGAAACAAAGCACCTGTAGCGTTGAGGAGAGCCAGATACAGATGAGAAAAGAGACTTGGCTGCCAGGCTCAGGAGTTGGTGGGTCTTTCTACAGTGGGGTTATTTAAGGGCTATACGCTTGAGGGGTGATTTGTGCAAAGGGACACATTTGCTGGTTAATCTGACAGCAGTGTGTTGGTTGAATTGTAAGGCATGAATAGTTAGAGGACCACAGCAGTCGTCCAGGTTATTATTTAATTAAGGCCTGGTGCAAAATAGTGTCCACAGAGGAAAGGGGGGAGGGGAGACAAAGCGAATGAGAAAGATGTTTCATGCCTATAAAATTTAATAGCATTTTGGTGATCATAACCTTTACAGAATAAGTGCTTTTTAAAAAGTATTCTGTTATTCTGCTGTTTTCTGGCTTGAACATATTATTGAATCGAATCCGAAAGCCCCCATACAATTGCTCTCAGTCTTTACCCAGAACTAGCTTAGAAGATGTTTTGTTAACGGGAAGGTTACTGACGGGGTTTACCCTTAAATCCTCTTTGGAAGAAAGCAGAGAATAAATAAAATTACTCATGAGGCATGATAACAGGGCAAAGAGGGCGAATGTAGAACAACTGTGTGGGAGATGGATTGCTCCTTGGTTTTACAACTTTGCTTGATTCTTAGGAAGTAAGGGGCACAGGAGAGTTTCTTGTAGAAAGGAATTCATTAAGTGTTAAAGAAATGCTTTCAACCCAGCTACCTTCTCCTTTTTTGGAGAAAGCTTGAAGCACCGTAGTACACGGGCAGCTTAACAAAGACCGGAAATGGAGCTGAGTCCTCAGAACAGCCCTCTGAGGACGTCAGTTGACCACGTTGTTTTCATTTACTTGGAAAGGAATTCCCTTTGAAAGTGCAGTAAGGTGTGTCTTTCCCCTTACTTAGCGGCCGCTCTGTCTGCTAACAAGATATACTGAGGTAATCTTATGGTACATACTTCTGTCTTACATGTGAAGAACTAAAGGTTATAGCAATTAACCACTTAACTCAGTGATTCTGTTTTAGAACTGATGATTAGCCCATCCTCGTTAGAATATTCTTTTGCCCTTTGCCCGTGGAAAGCATTTGCTCTCTGAAAGTCTGACACAGCTGTGGGAGCTCTGCCTAATTATAGCTGAACAGAGACCAGGGAACACTGAATTCTGGCCAGCTTGGCCCCTGTCAATCAATACCCATTATTTTAGGAGAAAAGAAAAAAAAGGAATAGTTGCATAAAATGATCAGAGACCCATACGCCCTTCCATGTAACAAGCAGCAGAAGGGCTCAGCCCTCCACACTTCTGTGCTGATCAGTCGATGAGCAGGAAGGAAAAGTGTAACTTGGAGAAATGCTTGGACTGTTGTCCTAAGTTCATCCGTAGATATGGGCACACACAAATGTTCCTCTATCAATTCTGCTGATACTTCTGTTGTACTGAGAGGGTGAAGAGTTAAGTCAGAGAAGTCTTTTAATTAAAAACAATCTCTGGGCCACCTGGGTGGCTCAGTTGGTTAAGTGTCTGCCTTTGGCTCAGGTCATGATCTCAGGGTCCTGGGATTCAGTCCCGCATCAGGCTCCTTGCTCAGTGGGGAGCCTGCCTCTCCCTCTGTCTGCCATTCCCCCTGCTTGTGCTCTCTGTCAGATAAATAAATAAAATCTAAATAAATAAATAAAAACAATCTCTGATTCTCAGAAATTCTGCTTTTATCTGGTTCCTTCTCTGTTGTTTCTTAATAGCCAGATGTTTGTTTTCTTAGTTTTTTCAAACAATGAATTTTTGGGTGAATTTTATTTTGCTTTCTAATTCATTAACTCATTTTTTAATCTTTGTAATTTTCCCTCCTGCTTTTCTTAGCTTTTAATTTTTTTTTCCCTTTCTACTTCTTGGGTTGAATTTTTCACTTATTTTCATTCTTTCTTGTTGACTTATAAAAGCATTTAAAACCATGAATTTTCTGGGGCACCTGGGTGGTGTAGTCAGTTAAGTGAACAACTCCTGGTTTTGGCTCAGGTCCTGATCTCAGGGTCGAACCCCCGCATCAGGCTCCGTGTTCAGTGCAGAATCTGCTTGAGATTCTCTCTCTCTCCCCCTCTGCCCCTCATGCTTGTGCTCCGTCTCTCTCTAAAATAAATAAATAAATCTTTAAAGAAAGCTATGAATTTCCTATCTACATAAGTTTGATAACATCCAACAAATTTTAATAAATAATGTCATTGTTGGTCTTTTCTGCAAATTAATCACCATACTGATTTCTATTTAATAATGGTTTTGGTAAGACGGGTCTTGGTTTCCAGGTGTATTTTGTCTTTCCTTAAAAATATGACACATTTCTAAGATTGTTTGCTTTTGCATTGGGGTCATACAGCCTGTATTGCGTCCCCTTTGGGGAATATACTGAGGCTTGCTTTGTGGGGAAAAATCAGAAGATATTCCATAAACAAGTATTTTCTCTGAAGTGTACAAGATACCATGAAGTATTTGTTTTTCTTTCTTTGACTTATTTCACTTAGCATAATGCTTTCAAGATTCATCCATGCTGTCACAAATGGCATGAAGGATTTCCTTCATTTTCACGGTTGAGTAATATTTCATTGTGTGTGTATCTATACATGTACATAAATGTATGTGTGCATATTACATCTCTTTTGTTCATCTGTGGATAGACACTTAGGTTGTTTCCCTATTTTGGCTATTGTGAATAATGCTACAATAGACATGGGAGTGCAGATTATCTCTTCAATATCCTGTTTTCTTTTCCTTTGGATATAAACCCAGAAATGGGAGCACTGGATCATGTGGTAATTCTATTTTAAATTTTTGGAAAAACCTCCATACTGTTTTCCACAGTGGCTGCACCAGTTTTCATTCCTACCAACAGAATCTATCATCTATCTATCTATCTATCTATCATCTATCTATCATCTAGCATCTACCAAACTCTTGATTTGGGCTCAGTTCTTTTTTTTTTGTTTTGTTTTGTTTTTAGATTTTTTATTTATTTATTTATCAGAGAGAGAGAGACAGAGGCGGGCAGAAGGAGAAGCAGGCTCCTTGCTGAGCCAGGAGCCCGATGTGGGACTCGATCCCAGGACCCTGGGATCATGACCTGAGCCGAAGGCAGACGCTTAACCGACTGAGCCACCCAGGCGTCCCATGGGCTCAGTTCTTGATACCTTTTTTTTCCCTCCATATTCTCGCCCATATGTGTTATCTTTTGTCTTTTTGATGATAGCCATTCTAACAGATGTGAAGTGATAGCTCATTGTGGTTTCAATTTACATTTCCATGACGATTAATGATGTTGAGCCCCTTTTCATGTACCTGTTCATCATTTGTATATCTGCTTTGGAAAAATGTCTATTCGGGTCCTTTGCCCATTTATAAATTAGATTGTAGGTGTTGTTTTTGTTTTGCTATTGAATTGTATGAGTTCTTTATACATTTTGGATATTAACCTCTTATCAAAATAAAGACTTTGCAAATATTGCTTCCATTTTGTAGGTTGCCTTTTCATTTTGTTGATGGTTTGCTTTGCTGCGCAGAAGCTTTCTAGTTTGATGTAGTCCCACCTGCTCATTTTGCTTTTGTCACCTTTGCTTTTAGGGTCAAATCCCCCTAAAAATCATTGCCAGAACTGATGGGCAGGAGCTTACCACCTATGTTTTTTTTTCTTGGAGTTTTATGGTTTCAGGTCTTACATCCAAATCTTCCTGCCTCAACTTGTACCTCTAGGCCAGTTCCAAAGCTGTCATGTTGAGACGTCCCTTCCTGCTCCTGGTTCTGATCTACTGTTTCCTGAATCCCAGGTTTTCATTTTCTTGGCTTATCCCCTTGTTTGGCTGGAGTACATCTTTAAGATATGTGAGGAAGGCAAAACTTCTGAGTCCTTGCTTGTCTGCATTTTTTTTTTTTTTTTTAGTCTTCCCTCGAATTTATCCCTTCCTTGGATAATTGAGAGTTTGGCTGAGTACCGAATTTTAGATTGTAAATTTTTCCCACTCAGATTTTTATAGATATTAATTCCATACCTTCCGATGTCTAATTAGTTTGCAGGAGATTTGTTTTCTTCCGTCTTAACTTTCATAGTCATATTTGTAGATATGAGAGTTTTTCCTTTGTTCTTATTATTAGTTCATACATCTTCTTGATGTTAAGACAAGTCGTCTTCTCATGCCCTGGGAATTTTCCAAAAATGGAAGGAAATTTCCTTCCTTCTTTGCCTCCATTGTCATCTAACACTCCTATTAAATATTGAATCCTCTATGTTCTCCTTTATGGGAGACTTTCTCTATTGCCTGTCACCCATTCTACTTCAATGCGTGTTTTGACAACTGTTGTGAATCTCAAGAGTTTCTTTTTATTTACAGACATTCCTTTTCCATAGCATCCTGTTGCAGATGCTGTATCTATTCTAATCTCTCTAAGGATGGTAATTAGAATTTTAACCTTAAAACAGTTTGCCACGGGGTGCCTGGGTGCTCAGTCGATTAAGTGTCCAACTCTTGATTTGGGTTCAGGTCATGATCTCAGGCTTGTGAGATCGAGCCCCGTGTTGGGCTCCATGCTGGGCATGGAGCCTGCTTGGGATTCTCTCTCTCCC